ATACTTTGTTTCAATAAACATACATGCAATAATGTAATACAGTTTTGTTTGTATATCAATGTATTTTAATATATGAATCAATATATAGCAATAGGATGTCCATCCATATATTGTTATATATTTTCAAATATATGAGGCAGTTTCTGATATATTGAAATATATTTTCTAATGTATTGCAATATAAATTCTAGTATATTGCAATATATTTTTGTTTCGTAAGGGGGGACAACCTTAACCACGAAGGACACATGCAATTCTGCCTTAAATCTGACTAGAATCTCTTAGATGGCATTATTAGTATTCGGCCTACTGTTTCAAACAGACTTCATGTCGAGAACAGGCCTAAAAATTCTGTCTAGATAGGCAACTCACTAGGCATTGGACCAGAGCTATTGTTTATCAGGCCCAGAGCGTTGCTTTCATCCCCAGATCTATCTATCTCCGGTCAAAGCAGTTTAACAATCTCTGGCTGACTCTGTGAAGTTTATCTCAGTGAAGAAAACACGTGAGGTGTCCACCACGACCCACAAACCCCCCAAAGAACATAAAAAAATCCAAAAGATGTAATTACGTTCAAGTTTGTTGCGTCTCACCAATTAACCCCGTACATATCTGAGCATGATGAAAAAAAAAAAGTGTAAGTGTGAACTTTTTTTATGCGTGCATATGGTATGCAGCCATTCTCAATGACTCCCTTCTCATCTCTAAAAACGGATCACTCGGAAAAACATATTGTAGCAACGCCAGACCGTTCGTTTCCCTGGCAGATGCCGACACCGTGAGTACGAGCCAATGAAAACACATAGTCCCCTGTCCCCTCTTTTAATTGGGATATTTTGGTGCTATTAGCTCCACACCTCCTTCCCCAAACATTACGAATGCAGATACGCACCCTGTCGTGGTCACTGAACCAGGTACAATCTCAGTACTCAGGTGTCTCTGAAAGGAAAGCGTGGATGTGTTTGGCAACCCGCTCTGTTGATGAAGGTTGAGCTAAGACTAGAACAGAAGAACTGGATGTATGCCATCATGTTGAGGAGCTGCTGTTTTGAGGTTGAGTGTGTAGAGTGAAAAGAGTGGGGGTGTTTGGGCTCTAAGGGGCTGACACCATATGTTATGTCAGCATTCATTACACTTTTATAGAGGCCTGCAGTGCTTTGCTTTCAACTGAATATTTTATCCGTGTATAGGATGTGTCTGCTTAAAGATGTGTGCAGAAAACAGTTTTAATATTTGATATTTTAATCTATCAAAAAAAGTGATAAATTGGCAAGGTAGGTGTACACTGATATCAATTATATATCGCCATCTGGTGGTTTCAAAAGTACTGACATATAGATTAATTTGTACAGACAGCATTCTTACAAAGAGGCACATGGAGATCAGCGGATAAACAATGGAACTTCCCTCCTCTGAGCATTTCTGTCTTTCTCAAAGGAGTTAAGAATGATGAATCGAAATAAAAGAGTCCACTGATAGCAGTAGTAAGGGAATTGGCTAAATTGAGTTCATTTATTCTATGATGGGGCTTGTTCTCATAACTATAGAGACTCAAAAGTTTAATTGCATTAGTAGGTATACGTTTCAAACAAAAAATACTTTTCAATTCGAATACTTTTTGTAAATTCTGTCACCCAAACAAAAATCATATTTTAGTTGTTGGATGAACAAGTGAACACTATAAAACCAAAATGGAATACATTAAAGCAAGAATAAACTACGATGAAGGTATAGATGTTAACTGTTCTCAAGCTCAGTGTTATTTTTTGTGTTATTTATTTAGCCTACTATTGTATTATTTTGCTTTTATTACATTTTTTTTTTGTTAGATGTGTCATTTTTGTGTTACTTTTAAATATTACTATTTAGGTTTAAATATTTTTTTATTTCAGTTTTAGTTTTTCTTCTCCTGAAACTTATTTAGCTGCAAAGACAACATTTCTAATTTTTGTTTAGTTTAAGTTTTTTTTTTTAGATCTCTAATATTTATATTTTATTTTATTCCAGCTTTACTTAAATTAACAAAAAATAGTTGTAATAGTTTTATTGTTAATGATAAGAACCCTGCTCAAGACAAGGGTATTTCTCATAAATATCAGGTTGGCACAATAATATTGAGGGAATTTGTCAAACATTTTATTCATTTATTTTTACACAGGCTAATTTTTTACTGATATCTGCGGTTTATTCACTGTGCAGCACCATTTTCATTCATTGCTTATGAATTGCTTTCATAATTGTTTCAGGTCTTTTTTTAGACTTGTTTTAGGTATTTTTGTTGTTTGGTCAGCATGATGCTGGTTGTAATTATTTTTCCCCGTTGACTTTCATTACAGATTTTACCGTCTGCATCAATGAATGGTAAGAATTCATAAATTAATTTCCTACATCTCAAAGTTAATACCAGCACTTTTTGTTCAAGTTGGAATTTTTTTCAGGGTATTAATTTTTTGCATTGGCAAACGGCGTGATGAATTTTCCGTTTCATATGCAAGCTGGACAGAGAAGCTGTTGCATGGATCTACTTTTCAGCCTGTTGGTGAGAAATGACAGCGGCACTCCAATAAAGCTGGAGGTCGGGGTCAGTGTCACTACGATTATTTATGGCCAATATCATACTACAGAGAAACAGAATCTGAAACTGAATCACTGCTTATAGAGACGTGAGAAGGGTGAATGCTCGGGAATGCAATACCACACAAAAACAATAACAGCTGGCTGGCCTCTGGCTAAACACAAACAAAAATAATGGAATCTGCTGACTGCCAGACAGGCATTTAACAGTTTTGTCCAATATCAAGCTCTCATGTAGAATTAATACATATGCATGCATAGCCATTCCTTGCTTTTTCATATTTAAACACGCAATAAGCGCATAAAACTCAGTGAGCTGTAAAATGGCTCTTAAAAAATTGATAAGAGATCAATTGTTCAGATATGAATGGACTGATTGTTAAAATGAGTGAGGGAAAAGAAAACAATAAAGCATTAAGAGCAGGAAGAGTGCTGATGAATCGGAGACATCCATCATTAACTCTGGTGGAGGTAATGGAGTGGAGCGGAGAGGACGGTGGACGGCCCCAGGCATCCGCACGTGCTCCGTCTGTCTCCATCTGATTCAGACCAAAACTCCCTCATTCACTCCTACACATCTAAGTGGGCAAACTGTGTCTTTGGTTTTTACAAGCTGGACTCGAGAAAAAACAACAACTATGGTAACACTTTACAACAAGGTTTCATCAGGTAACTACATTAGTTAACATGAACTAACAATGAGAAATAATTCTAAAGCTTTTATTAATCTTAGTTCATAATTCCAGTATTTAATTCCAGCATTTAAAGGGATAGTTCATCCAAAAATGAAAGCTTTAGCGCAAGTTCTACCAGGAAGACTCAATTGTTACGTCATTTATCACCTACACATCTAACCAATATTTTGACAGAATTTTCATTTTTGGGTGAACTATCCCTTTAATGGACCTGAACTAACATGATCTTAAAATGAATAGTTGAATTTTTTATTAATTAACATTACAGTTTAATAAATACTGTAACAAATGTATTGCTTATTGTAAGTTAATGTTGATTAATGCATTGGCTAATGAGACAATATTGTAAAGTTTTAGCAAATCTATTGACAGATTATTTTAAGTAGTGAACGAATTGTTCTTTTGAGTCTAATCTTTTCAATGAATCATTTGAACCAGTTCACAAAAAAATGTGAAGTGACTTCCTTGAAAGACTGATAGTATCGAGACATCTCGTTCATTAACAAACCGAATGAACTAGTTCATCACTATCAATGATGAAACTTGATGAACATCTCATTCACAACAAGAAGAGGTATGAATATGTAAAAGTGACTGATGACCATACCCAATTAAACTGACGCAATGATATTGAGACATTTTTATGTGGATGTTTATTTATTTAGTACAGAGACCCTGCACATGACATGGGGATATATGTATATCATGGTCACAAATTAAGAATTAATTACCTAGTTAATACCTAATTAATCTGTTTTGGTGAAAGTGCTCAAAAGATTCAAATCACTTGGATGAATCAAAATGTCCAACACTGCGGCCTGGTTTCACAGACAGCGCTTAGATTAAACCAGGATTAGGCCTTAGTTCAATTAGGACATTTAAGTAGCTTTTATGAATATGCATTAAAAAAAAAAAAAAACATTGCTACATTTGCATAATTTAAGATATGTCAGTGCAAGTTAAAATAGTAATGCATTTTAGTCCAGGACTTAAAGCATTGTCTGTGAAACCAGGGGTACAAGTTATGGATTATCAACCTCACACTTGTATTTTTTGAATTTGGGTTAATAAAAGGGCCTCGGGATTTCCCAGAATACAAGCAGAACATATGAAAATAGTCTAAAGTAATTCAGACAGTTACCTTCAAACTGTCTTTGCTCTGGTAAAGTTGTTTGAAATGCCCATGCAGCCTTAGCAGTGAGAGATTGGCATCCCTCAGTCATAAACTCCATTCCATGCCCTTTAAAGCAGATTACGCTCATGTTTGAGCCTGAAAGGACAGCCAGGACACTGCAGGCTTAGGCCACAGCTGAAAGGATTTCCAGCCCTGACAATGAGCCAAACTACAAGAGACTGAACAAAAGTGGTTTACCAACCAAAAGCATTGTTAATATTATAAACTACTGAGAATAACAAACGTAAGCTTTTTCCATACAAGAGAATTTCCATCATGCTCATATTGAACATGCTAAAAGCACATTGCTTTCATACAAATTTTCTATTGAAATATAAAACCCCACATAATTACTGATTAAGGCTTTTTTCAACTTCATTCAAACTGTGTAATGAACAGTTTTCATTTGTGCCATTTAGATTTAAACTAGCAATATGTATTCTGATAGCTCTAAAAAAAGTCTTAATACTTTGCTACATAAAAGGTTTTAGTTGTAGCATTCAAACAAGCGTTACGAGGGAAGAGAAAACAGTCACAAATGTTCAAACTCACATAACTTTATTGTCCTTGATAAAAAGATATTGTGCAATTGAGTGCATCTATAATAAAACGTTCACAAGCATCAGCAACAAAGATTCAGTATCTAATTCGGACCAGCCTGGAATTAGTGGTCCGGTTGAGGTCATTATGAAGATTCGAGCATGAAAACAAACAGATTTACCCTGCTGTCAGTGTTGTTAGCATATGGTCACAAAAACCCTGCCATGAATATACTAGGATTGCTACATGCTGGTGCAGTCCTTTAGAAAGCCCTGGAGGGGCCAACCTTTTAAAACCCGTGAACCTTCAACTGCTCCTCCTTTACGATGTTGATCTGTAAAATAGCAAAATTGAAATTAGTAATTGCTTAAACTGATTTGAAGTCCAAAACCAAGATCAAACTAACCCATTTAAACATGTTTAAGACAAAAACAGCTAGTTATTCAATACGCAAGTATACTTCACCTCCATCAGAAATTGACAGATATTCTTCCTCTGGTCACCCTGTAACTGAATCACCTCTCCATACTCCGGGTGCTCGATCACTGTACCATTGCAGGCAAATTTCTAATAAATAAAACAGGACAAGATTACTCAACACCAAATAACACTTTGGGAGAAAGGCTTCCAAATAACTAGGAGTCATAAAGTACCTTCTTGAAGGCTTTTACAAGCTTCTTTTTATCATAATCATCAGCGATGCCTTGAACTGTGGTCAGTGTTTTGCGTCCGTTCCGTTGCTGAATCCTTATGTGGATTTTATCCTCCGTCCCAGCCGGGAGCAAGTCGTCACCCTTAGTTGCATCAGCAAAGGGATCTACGGAGAAACAATGAAACACTTCAGTCTTTGTTACAGGAAAACCTGGGGCTGTGAGATTTTTCCTGTACTACTATAATGAGCTCAAGTTGCACAATGGGAATGAATCAAGTTGGAGATCATAAAGAGCAACATCTGATAAAAAAAAAAAAAAAACATTAGCGATATATGCATGCCTAGTCGTTTTACACAGCTCTTTTGAAGAGACAGTTCAACCAAAACAATTCCGTCATCATTTACTCGCCCTCAAGTTGTTCTAAACCTGTATGCGTTCCTTTGTTCTGCTGAACACAAAAGATGATTTTGAAGAATGTTGGCAACCAAATCGTTGTTAGTCTCCATTGACTTCCATAGTGTGAAAAAGAAATACTATGGAAGTCAATGGGCCAGCAACTGTTTGGTCACCAACATTCTTCAAAATATACGGTGTTCAAAAAACACATTTACAGGTATAAAAAACTTTTAAGGGGAGTAAATGACTTTATATTATGATCAACTACCTCTTTAAGGGTGTGCCACACGTTTGAAACAATGAATAAACAAGGAACTGATTAAAGATTCCAAAGGGGGGTTTTCGCGGTGATGTCATAGAAGAACCACCATTTTAGGTTCCAAAAAATTAAGAACAATTTTTAAAATCATCGTTTTCTTAGTGTGAAGAACATTTTAAAAACCCAATGAACCTTCCACCACAAACAACCTTTCGTGCAGTGGAAACGTGGATTTTAACGGTTCTTCGTAAAACCACAGATGCTAATAAAGAACCTCAATTTTTAAGAGGCCTTAAAAAAAAAACACATCTTAACGGTATTGCGCTAACAGCAGTTTCACAAAAACACACATATACATACATATATATATATATATATATATATATATATATATATATATATATATATATATATATATATATATATATATATATATATATATATATGTATATATAATAAACGTATATATTATAAAGGCGCCATTATTTTCCCTACGAACTTTCCCAGGCATTGGAATTCGCTTTTTTAATGTTGATGGAAAAATAAAAACGTTTAACTTATTGTTTGCATCGACTATTTAAATAACATGTTCGCATCGATGCATTTGTGCACAGACACCACACAACATAATAACGTTCCTCAAGATACTGTCCTTTTGTAAACTCGTGCAACTTACCGAAGGACTGGAGGTTCTGTATATTGGACATGCGATATTACTGCGATAACTTAAACAGATGAAAGATGTCGGCGATCAATGCCGTTCGGAGATCCTTGCTTAGATTTGTAGTTATTTTATAAATCGTCGACGAAAACACAGAGCGGGTGCTAAATCTGCCTGATGCAACAATCGCGTGGGACACAGACAGCGGAAGTGCTTTAATGCGCTGCAGAGAGCGATGACAAAAGGCTTTAAGTACATTGCCAGCTGTATTTAATTTAGGATCTTTCACTAAACAGATATAATGCCGATATGATCTCAAGATTATCTCAATAAAAATTTTACGATAATATATATACATATACATATATATATATATATATATATATATATATATATATATATATATATATATATATATATATATATATATATATAGATATAGATACACACACACATACACTATATATATAGTAATATTGTAATGTTTTATATCTAATTATTTTATTATAATTATTTTGACTGCTTTACTGACAGCATAATGATATTTCACCTTTCTTTTACTGTCTATGTATTTCACAAGGTGGTTTTATTTGAGGTTTTAAACAACCCGGAAGGAAAGCTAAACACTCGCTTAGCTCTTACATGAACGTTTTCAGACCTTTCCAAAGCGTAATTTTGGTTATAGTGTAATTGTATGTTATCATAAAAATATGTGTCTCTTCCAAAGTGGTGATGTTTTCTATAAATAGCAAATATCATAATACTATGCTTTTACCATAGGCTTTTACAGTCAAAGACCTAGCCACTACATCCGGGGATTTGCGCTACATGGCCACATTCTACACACGGACACTAGATGGCGCTAAAGATAGATTATTTGGCTTCCTTTACTGTGATTATAAAAAAGACGATATCGAATTCAAACATCTAATAAATAATTTCTCAAAATAGTATCCTTGCTTGGGTTTGTGTTCGATTTATTTTAAATGTTTATTTCGATCTGAACAGGAAATGGAACAAAGCTAAGTGACCAATTTGTTTAATTAATGTTTTCTTTGTCGTTATGTAATTCCATTTTCTTGTTATGTGATTATGTAATGCTTGTGTGCAATTGTTAATTTAAAAATTGTTAAGGTAATGAACTAAAACCTTTTGTAAAAATACATATTTTGAGCCATGCCGTTCTTGTCAAGCAGGCGACACTAAAGAGGACGATTGCTCATTTAGACTACCACCGAAGAAATGAAGATCACGTAACGCCGATTAATTCGCTGAATTTAACAACGCTGTCTTTACGTATAGTAAAGATTAGAGTGAAGTCATCGGTGAGATTAACAACGCCTGTTGTATCATAACCTAAGAACATAACAGAAGCGGATCTGACAGGAGCACAAGAATACCTCAGCGAAAATCTAAGCAAAATATGTTTTCTCTGCCCACAACCTTTCAGTCGCAGGTATGAAGGTATTTCATTGTTTTAAAAAGTAGTCGTCAAAGCCCGTTTTGTAAATAAATGAGTGACTGTAGAAAGTATTAATGAACGTGAACGAGAAACCAGTGTGTGAATGAGGATTTTCATAACAAACTTTGATCTTGTTCATTTAAGTCTGATGAAAATCGTTATTTAAAACAATAATATTGTCTGCTATTGAAAGTTTATGCTAATAACATTCATTTGAAACCTATTTCTGGCAAATTCTGACGCTATTTAGATGGACCATCAAACAGATTGCATCATCTTATTCACTGTATTTATTTCATAAAATCATCTGTTGCGAATTTCATTTGTTTTTCTTCACTGTTGATTGAAAACACAATTATACAGATATTGTGTATACATGTATTATATATTTAATTATTTTAATCAATAATAGTGTTATTGATGACATGGTTATGTATTATTACGGTCATTCTGGTTGTTCAACAACAACAGCTGTGAAAGTGTGTTTAATAGTGAGACTGAGTGTGAAGGTGTCTGAAGGGTGTTTCAATAGTATGTCAGTAGTGATATAACTGACCTACAGATCAACATACTGTAGTGTCAGTCATACATGGAGAGCTTATGTGTCTCTGTGACTATGATAACTTAAGGACTGGCAACTTGATACAATTTTATTATTTTATTTGCTAACCAATATTCTCCACACCAAGTTATGCAATGTGTTACTTTTTTGGTACTTTTTTTAGGGAACAGTGCCTTTGACCCATCTAATCAATGTGGTCCAGTACCTGAAGAGTTCAGCCAACTCAGCCGTAACCACATCGGTGCAGAGTCTACAGAGAGACCATTCACCTGAACATGACCCACTCCTCAATGAGGTATGACAGTCACGGATACCGCACTCATTATGTTTTAAAGCAGTGCATGTTCATGTTTACACCAAGGTTATTAATATTATAGTTCACTCAAACTAATTTTGTTGCTTTAAAGGTGCTCTAAGCGATGTTAGGTGACGTCACTTCTTGTTGACGTTCGAAGTATTGTCAAACAAAATGGAGGCTAGCTCGACCCTCCCTCCTCCTCATCCCATCGTGCCCCCCAACCCCCACCCCCAAATCATTATTGGCTGGATCACTGTTTGTTATGTTTCGTGGTCCAGGTTGGACCAGTTTGTTTTTGTTGCCGTTTGTGGAGCCTGGGCTGTCTACAGAGACCTTGTTTTTTTACAGTGTGTTCAGGGGACAGGCAGCTAGCAGATATTGAGGAGATGTTTGCTGTATGTGACAAAAAAATGTTTCGGCCTAAAAAACGTGTGACATCGCTTGGAGCACCAAATTAACGTTAACTGAAATAAAATATAATTAAAAGGATAGTTCACCCAAAAATTTCAATTCTGTCATCATTTACTCACCCTCAAGTTGTTCCGAACCTGTATACATTTCTTTCTTCTGCTGAACACAAAAGAAGATAATACCTTATTGGTATTATTGGTCAATGGGGAACAGAAACTCTTTGGTTACCGACATTCTTCAAAATATCTTCTTTTGACTTCAGCAGAAGAAAGAAATTCACACAGGTTATTCAACTTGAGGCTGAGTAAATGATGACTGAATTTTAATTTTTGGGTGAACTATCCCTTTAAACTTATTTTATTTCAGCTAGTTGCCAACCAAGGCACAAGTTGTCATTTTCGTTTAGTTTAACTTGTTGTAGAATAACTAAAACTGAAATAAAAATGATTAAAAAAATGATATTGGCATTAAAAAAAAGCTAATAAAAATGGAAAAAAAGAACACAACTAATTACTAAAACGAATCACTAAAATGAAAAATATAAAATATAAAAACAACATAAAAAAATGGAAAATTATAATATTATCTCAGTGATACTAAAATAACACTGGTTTCCACTGCGCTTCATGGTTCTAACTGTCTTGTTTTCACAGCCGAAAGTAAACTTGAAGGACCTGGGTCTGTCAGAGCTGAGGTTCAGTCATGTACGTGCTGTTCTGGAACGCCTGCTGCCTTCTGTAGATCCAGAGGAGAAATCCATCTCCAGCGCTGCTCAAAACTCAACAGCATGGAGAACATCTCACATTTCTGCCCCCTCCTTCTTCCAAAACAAAAATGGTAAGGTTAACCACAACATAAAGTGATGATATAATGTTTTGAAGTATATTTGTCTCTCTGAATTTTTGGAAGCTCAATAATTAGGTTTATACTCGTACATAAAATTGTAATGCGGCCACTTCTTTTCACTAGACCACATCTGTTAAAAAATAAGTTGTTCCAGCTTCACAGGAAATGACAGCAATTTTTGTATCATTTCCAATCTACTGTACTTGAATACTTTGTGCAAGCTAGGTCACAAGTAAACTTATTTATTAGGATGTTGAAATTTTGTGCACCAACAAGTTTTCTGATTTCCAAAAACTTTCCAGTCTTAAATTGCCCCATTATGCTTTTCCGGATATTACCTTTCATGTAGTGTGTTATATTTTGTGTTCGTCTCACTGTGTGTCAAGTACTAAGGAAGATCCGGAGCTGAAATTCAGATATGCTAATAGGCATTTTGTTTCTGACACGTGCTGTAAGCTGTAGACCAATCACAACAGACTGTGCCATCTGACCAATCAGAGCAGAGTAGACTCTCAGAAAGAAGGGGTTCAGAGAGACCGAATCCTTTATCGAACTGTTTCAGACACTGTGAGAAATGTCATTTGAAAACTAAAGGCCCATTTTGTTGTCAGCAAAGTGATTCATTCTTGACTTTGTTGTGTAATGTAAATTGTATATCTTACCACAGGGTTCTCTCACAAACACACGGGACTCTTTGGCTCTCCGGTGTTTCGCAGCCCCCTCCAGACAGCCTGCGTAGATCTGCACCATCTGCAATGTAATCTTTAATGACCAAAATATAAAGAATTAAAGGCCGTTCACACTAAGAACAATAACTATAACTATAATGTTCTATGAATTGTTCTAATTCTATGAGAATAGGGAAGTCCACACCACAGCTGGAACAATATAATTGGAATCACTTTCGAAGCTATATTTTACAGCTGATAAACTATAAAAACATTAACAATCAATAAGAATCCACCCGACCTTATAGAGCCTGAGCATTTAAAGTGGCAAATGACACAACTGCAGTCTGTGACTATAATAAACGTTATCATCTGTTGGTGTGGATGCTAATATAGTTATATTGTTCTCGGTGTGAACAGGGCCTTTACTCAGTTACATGCTGTTACGTTATAGCTATTGTATGGATTGAGTTCTGGGTTTATTTTGATGTATGGATGTCTTGTTTGTTTTCATGCATAGTATGGATCCAAAACAGAGGTTTCAAGACGATGAGGTCCAAGACCAGACGTCTGCAGTCTGGTCCTGAAGCTCCAGTAGAAGCAGAGAATTATACGCCAGTCTTTATGAAGGTTAGTGAGCTGACAAAATATCAGTTCATCCAGGTCTGCTCTTTAGAAAAACAACAGGTTTTATCTGTGTGATTAATTTGTTTCCGATTTTTCCTTATTCTCTGTCCTCTTCAGGGCCTCCTCATGAAGGAAAAACAAGACACGGGGAGTTTTGAACAGTTATTGAAACAGAATAACTTGTCAGAATCTCACCAAGATGCTTTTAAGACTGGCTTCACAGAGGGCTTCATGAAGGCTCAGGCATTGACACAGAGAAATCAAGGTCATATCTTACACGCATATCTGCTTAATAGTAAACAATGTGTTGTTATGAATGAGTTCGTTCTTACTTTTTCTGTTTCTAACAGA